ACCCTGGTGTGTGCTTGTTGCTTTGCTGTGTTCTGTGCCAGGAGCTGTAGCCCTCTGCCATGTGCCACTCTGCCTTGTAATCTGCCAAGTATGGACTGAAACCTCTACAAACTGTAAGCGAAATAAACCTTTCTTTCTTTAATTTTGGGGGTCAGGTATTTTGTCCCAGCAACAAGAGGAAAGTAACCAAGACACTGGAAACTAGTGTTTGCAAAACTACTAAGGAAAGGAAAGAAATAAGGATTCAATCTGACATTCATTTGTGTGAGAGAAAGCATCTCTACACAAACATATTAAAATACTCTCAGAAATGTATAGAAGATGAAAGGACTACTATCGTTTTCCAAAATTTGATAAATTTATAAATTTAGGCAAGTTTTTTTTTTTTTTTTTCCAATATCGAGAATCTAACTCATGACCTCACGCTTGCCAGGCAGGTGCTGTGCCGCTGAGCTAAATCCCCAGCCCCAGATTTAGGCAATGAATATAAATGGCTACTGACTTTACTAAAAGACAGTCAACCAGATATTATGAGTTTCTTGATGAAAAGAAAAAAGAAAACCTACAGTTCTGCTGAAAGGATTGACCCAGGGTCTGATCAAGTCTCTGGACACAGCTACCAATTCTCAGGAAATATGAGGACAGAGGTACAAATTAAACTATGTCATGAGTAATAGAAAAACACCAAAATCAAGCTGTGGGAAACTGAAGGTCAGATACAAAAAGTTGAAAGATTTATAAGATCTGAAGAGAAATCAGAGTATATAGTCATATACTCTAGGTTCTTCAATAGATCATTTACTGGGGGTGGGGAGAGGATGATCGATAAAAAGAGAACAGAGAAGCACACCAGGTGAAAATGGGCAAAACAAAACTTTAGTTTGTAGATGTATACAGTTGTGTGGTAAACTATAGAGAAATTCAAGGGTGTATTTGCTACAAAAAATTGAGGTAGTAACTTGGGGACGCATGATTGGGTGATAAGCAATAAGTTCAGTGACATAATTATAGTAAGGTCAGGACAGTGGAAACTTGGAGGGAAGGAAAGTTTTATGATTAGGATGAGAGTGCATGGAAGAAATTTTGAGATAGATGATCATAAAATGTTTTATGATCTGGGTTGTGATTACAGCAGAGCTAACATAAGACTTTGTGAAATTTTCTCCATTTATTTTGTAGGTTTTTTGCAGATATTTTACTATGAACACCATTTATTTATTTGTTTTTAAAGAGGGGATTACTGACAATAGCAATGGAACCGAAGAGCTGGCAGCAAAGTACTTTGTGCGTGGATGTAGGGATAAGATTTGAAGCCAAAAATTGACATTTACTCTTCCATGAGTGTGATTGTTGGTTGGATGAATAGAGTGGGAGTGGTGTGAAAACCTCAGTGAATTTAAAGCTTCTGATCAGAATTTTCTCTGTGAAATAGGAAGCCATGACACATGCTAAGAGCGGGGTAGAACTTGGCTGGAGATGGGGCAAGAGGCATCTGAGGTGTAAGAGGAACAAAATGCCTTATTTTCTAAATTTGTCCTCTTTCAGGGTTATGTGACACCTGCCAGTGGCCTTTAAAAGTGCCAGAGGAGGGCTGGGGATTTAGCTCAGCGGCACAGCGCCTGCCTGGCAAGAACAAGGTAGTGAGTTCAGTTCCTGGTACCGGAAAGAAACCAAACAACAACAACAACAAAAAAGTAACCTTTGGGGCTGGGGATTTAGCTCAGGGTTGTGAGATCGATTCCTGGTACCAGAAAAACAAAACAAAACAAAACAAAACAAAACAAAACAAAAGTGCCAGAGTAGAAGCAGTTCCATAGATTGCTTTTCTTCTGGGTAGATGTGATGGAAGAGAAAAAGAGAATAGTGTTCTAGAAAAATAACTGGCTGATGTGATATCATTTGGATCATTGATATCATGCAGAAAGATTAAAGATTGATATTATGGGTTGAATTTCATCCACTAAAAGATGTTGCAGTTATATCCTCCTCTACCTATAAATACAACCTTATTTGAGAAAAGTATCTTCATTAATGATTAAGTTAAACGAAGTCATTCTTGTGGGCCCTAGTCCAAATGACCACATCAGTATAAGAAGAGCAAAATGAGGCACAAACATAGACACGCATAGATAGAACACAATGTGAAGCTGAAGTAAGAACACCGTCTACAAATCAAGGAAAGCCCGAGGCTACCTGAAGCTAGGAGAGAAGACAAAAACAGATCTTTCTCTGAAAGCTGTCCTGCTGATACTAGATTTGTAACTTCTGTCTTCAACAAGTGAGACCATACTTAGTTGAGAATAGTAAAGGTCGGTAGTTTGTAGTGCAGTGAGAAGGATAATGAATTAGAAGAATTTGGTTGGGAGAAGAGACCAGGGTCAAGGCCAAGATTCACACTAAACAGTTGCTATTTTAACTCAAAAGGAAGCAGTGGAAATGTTTTACAGAGGCCAAACTAGTGATCCAATTTCAATGTCATAAAGGTCATTTTGGTTACTGAGTTGAGCATGAATGGTAACTGCCTAAACATGGTATGTGAGACAGTTCAGGAGGCCCTGACTTAGTTTAGCAGGTGGTGATGGCGGGAACTGAGCAGCAGTAGTGCAGATGGAGAGAGAGAAATGGGTATGAACTGTATGTTGGGGGCAGAACTGGTGAGGTGTAATGACCTATTAAGTGTAGGCAATGTGAGGGGAAGGAGGTATCAGGATCATGTCAGGTATTGTTCTAGAAGTGGCATAGGGCTGCTAAGAGATTATAAACTGCTCCTTTCTTGTCCCTGGTGAGTGGGGCCTTGGCTGAGAAGCAGGCTGAATCACTTTGGCTGCCAAGAAGCAGAGTCTATAGTGAAGAATACAGCATCTCACGCAGACACAGAGGTGGAAATGTGTTTCAGGGAGAAGGTACAAGAGAAGGTATGTTTACAGTAGAATTGGGGTTCTGGAAGGCTCAGTGGAAGGACTGAAATGCAGACTAAGGTGACTGGTTAGAGAAGAGAAGATCGGATCCACACGGGTGGGAGAAAGAAATTTTGTTGTGCCTTGTGCTTCTGCTTGGAAAGTGGTCTTCAGAAGTGTCCCTTAGAGCACTGATGCCCTCTTGATCATTTCCCTTTGGGCTTCTCCAAACTCACATCTTCTACCCTTCCTATACATTCTGATTTTTGGCTTTATAGTTCTTTTATGGGTCTTTCACAGATCTATAACCTAACCACATCACAAACTTCTTAAAGGTGGAATCTTTTGAATTGGCTATCAATCATTCAATCAACCTGTAATCAACCAACCAATCATCTACCTAATAGGGTGAATTAAATACAAGGCAGAGTGACAGAAGAATTGACCTCTAGTCCTGTCTTTTTGCTATTTCATTGAAGGAACTCTATCTTTACCATATTGAGTTTTAAATGTTTTCTTCTAACAATTCAATAAACATATACTTCATAAAGGTCCTTTTACTGGAATTGTTTCATTTGACTTCACAAGAGGTCACTGTGACTAGTAGGACTTGTGTATAGCCTGCTTTAGAAGTGAGAACACCAGTGTTTGGACAGCTGAATTAAGTGCTTTTTAAAAAAAAATTATTTTATTTTATTTTTCCAGTACAGGGAATCGAACTCATGACCTTGCACTTGCCAGGCAGGTGCTGTGCCACTGAGCTAAATCCCCATCCCCTAATAAGTGCTTTATTAAAAGGTTATCAAGCCAATGCATGTGAAGAACAGATCAGAACCCAGGCTTTCTCATTCTGGGTTTTGTGTTCTTTATGTAGTATCTAATAGAGTTGTTGTAAAACTTGAAACACTTTGAAATTTATCAAGCGCTATTGACCTTCAGTTCCCCTAAACAAGGATCTTATCAGACATTCCATGTATGTTCCACATTGCCCAGCAGGTATGCTGCACATGGCGGTGCTCAGTAGGTGGCTGTGGCCTGGGTATGCTCTTCATACTCTGGTGGTGGCTTTTGGGGACTTGTCCACGCTCTCTGAGGAGCTCTTATTTCCCTAATGAGATTGTGGTCACAGTAGAATGAGCAAGGCTATACTTTAATCCGTGTATATACAGGAGTCAACAAAACCCATGTGTAAGTTGTGATGCTGCTATTTATGATTTACATGAACTTAGGAGAGTTACTGTCTTCACCAAAGACTCATGTTCCTTGTTTTTAAAACAGGAAGAAAAATACTCACCTGAGTTTCTCTTTGGTGTGTGCTAGATCAAAAACAACTATCATAAGTATCTTGCCAACTACATGAAGTGGATTTATGGTAATCTGCCATGCTAGGCATTTATTCAATGGGTACATGAGTCTACAAAGAAGGTACAAAGACATCCACACAACATCCTACTGGGGCCTAGAAAAGGGCTGTTTATACAGTGTGGATTAGTTGCTAGCATGCAAGTGCCACCCAGCAAGTGTGTGGAGTGGTGAGATGTCATGTTCAAAATCAGACCTTTCATTTATTGGAGTGCTCAATGGAGCAAGGAGATGTTCTTGTTCCTAAAGGTTCACTAGCCATGCACCTCCCCACCTCTGAAAAACTACATATAGGGTAACTCTCCCTTACATCTCAGGGGCGTGTTTGCTGATTGGTTTAGCCATGAGGAGTCTACTCTTGGTCTTTGTGGTCCTTGTCTTGCTGCCCTATGTTCCACCAGGTAAAAACTGATTCTTTTCCCCGTGGAGTTAGGAACAACAAAGGGAAGGGGGTGTGAAGTTCTGTGAGTGCAACAAAGGCAATACTGAAACAAAGGAAGCTGAGCAGGGCAACACGAACCGAGAGGGATTCCCTGGGTGGGTCCTGGGGATGGAGAGAAGATGCTATGAACATGTAGCAGGAAGTGGTTCTCTTCAGATAAGGAGCTGTTTCTTGGTTTGAGTCTTGAAATTCTGTGAAGGCTGCAGGCACGGTTGGACCAATATTTTCAGAAATGGGGCAGAGCAAGCAGATGAAATCTTAGTTAGGAGCCTATTCCTTGAAGACTCTTTTTTTTTTTTTAATGTTTTGGTTTTTTTCCAGTACCGGGAATCAAACTCACAACCTTGTGCTTGCCAGGCAGGCGCTGTGCTGCTGAGCTAAATCCCCAGCCCCCCTTGAAGACTCTTGGAACTTGGCTTCCCCAGTGAGCCATCCATGAAGTTTTTCACTCATTCTGAAGCCAAAGCAAATCTGCAAATGGAGCTGATTGTTAAAATGTATTCAGTTAACAGAATACAGTGGGTTCTGATAGCACATCGGTTTGGAGAGTCAGAATTTCTGTCCTCTGAACAGAAGCAAGTAACTTGATGGTGGTGAGAAGGAACCACTTACCTCACTGAAGGGGAGGTTCTCACATGTGTGGTTTCTGGGGTCTGCAGAAAGCTCCAGCCTCCTACCTCAAACCTTCATATTGAGAAGACATCACTTAATGGCCATGTATGGAGCAAAGACAGACATAGACAAGGATTGTGCCGAGACTGTTGCTGTTCTGTGGGGCAGGGCCTCTGGACACTTCACACTGTGTCTGCACCGGGTTTCTTTGTCTCTAGAGAGGTCCCCAGAGTTGGTGCGAGCACAGCTTGCAAGTTTATATGCCACTGGCCTTGAATCATATCACATTGGTTATATTCCCATATTGGTTACTTCCATACTACAAAGATTCACTCAATCCACAGTCCCATGGGGGTCAGTGGTGGAGAGACTGGTAAGGCTTAGCACATGAAAGTAGGGTGACTCAGGGCCACCCTCAGCCTCACAAACTGCCTTCTTCCCTCTCCCTTTCCTCTGGTTTCCAGAGGCACCTAGGTCTGAACATCCTGGAAAATGACGTGTTCCAGATATTTCAAACCAGGCCTTCTCTTTATCTGATAGGACACTCATAACCAGCCTATGATTAAGCCATGACAGAGAGTGAGGCACTTAGAAAAATAATCCTATAAAATATTAGGGGAGTGCAGGGCTAGAACCACGGTCTTCTGAAATTCTAGTTCAGTGCTCTTTCCTTCTTCACACTGGCACTTTAATAATTATGAACTGCCTTGGATATCCAAAAGGGACTCTCTATGGCATCTTCTGTTAAGGAGGGGACCTCTCAGACTCCTCAGATGTCTCCAACATCTGCATGATCTTTCCTTACCAAATAGTCCCAAGCTGAGCCTGCTGAGTTGTTATCTGCATTTAATTGGTTAGTAATGACGGTCCACAGGAGCTAACATAGGGCTCTTGGAAAATAAGGTAGAAGCAACTAGAAAGGGGACATCCAGACATAAAACATGTTGGATATCTTTTATTATATTGATTTATCACTAACAATTATAAAGTGTAGCTGCACGTCTGATCTACCCTTGGCACTGTGACATTACAGGGCACTCATGTGAATTAACCTTTGTTTCTGTTGACAGTTAGAAGTGGACCGAATCAATACATTAGACAAATCTTTTCTTCATGCTGGCGAATGAAAGGTTCTTGCAAGATACAGTGTGCACCAAATGAAATATATCATATTTTCTGTGATAGTGCAAACGTGTGCTGCATAGAGAAAAAACATCTGCCTATTCTGGTTGGGTAGCTGTGAGTATCTGAGGGCTGCTGCTGACTTCCTCGGGCAGCTCAGATCCTCTCACGGGCCTCATTCCATTAAAATGATGCTTTCAGCTTATCAGTGTTTCTGTGTCAGCTGTGTTCCCCTTTATTGTCTTTGCTACAGAAATTCTTTCTTAATTAAACTCCTTATCTTCCATATTTTTTTCTTTTTATTAATTTGTTACTTACCAAAGGTATATATATATATATTTTTTTTTTAGTCTTTTTGAGACAAGGTCTCACTATGTAGTCAGGCTGGACTTGAATTCACTTTGTAGCTCAGGTTGACCACAAACTCACAGTGATCCTCATTCCTCAGCCTCCTGAATGCTGGGATTAGAAAATGCTCCAAAGGAAAGAGAAACCGGAGTGGAGAAAAGGAGAAAAGAAGGAAGGAGAAAGGAAAAATAAATACACACACATACACAAGATAGTCAAGATCGATATACTAATTGCTATTAGCTCATTGAAAGGAAAGGTATATGCCTATATTGCTTGATTGGCTTTCCATGCCTATATCTTGTATTATGAGCAGCTACTTTGAAGATAACAATGAGCAATGTACTGAGAATTATTGATCTCCTACAATGAGAAATTTTATACAAGCATGTTCCACCAAGCCCAGGCCAAAGGCATCTTAAGAACATTTTAAAAAATCTAAGATACAGGTAGAAAAGGGTGGAAGTTTTGAGTAAATATCCTGATGATATTATATATTTCACACACCTGTGTAACAAGCGCCGAGGTCAAAAAAGAACACAACACTCCAGGCACTACAATCACTATCTCAGAAAGGATATTTCTGGCTGTCCATCTAAAAGCAAAGTCTTGGCACCTCTTTTCAACTTTATATCACTTCAAGTTTATATCAATGGTAGTTTGCCACTCTCAGTTTTGCATACTATTATAACAGAAATATATCTTTGACTTCTGCCATAGAAGAAGATATTTATAATTTCTAGCACTTGGCTCTCACAAACAGTACTGTTGGTGAACATTCCTGTACAAGTTCTCTTTTTAGATCTGGTGGCATTTCTGAGGCTAGATACCTAGAAGTGGAATTTCTAGGTCGCAGGCTATGCATATACTCCATTTTGGTGGACAGATTATATCAAAAACTGAGTTAAATAACCCTGTTATTGCAGGCCTGCAATCTCCCAAGCAAGTGGATGGTGAAGGCTTAAATAAATGGGAGAATAGCAATGATTTTAGGGCTCCAGGAGGGACTAACTCTCTTACAGCTTCAGTATTCTCTGAGTTAGCCAAAGATGTCTCTAGGTGGCCTGTATTTATTTGGCTTTCAAACAAAGGGAGAGGATACTCAAGAAAACGTGGGAATCTCACAGGACCTTGGGAGAATTTTCCCAAATAGTAAATTATGTTAATCAGGAGAACTACCTTATCTTTATGTTGATATTTATTGCAGGTGTGTGTAGCCTGCAGCTGTAGTCTCCTTATAGTTAATTGGGGTTGGAGGGAAATGTTCTCAGCTGTGGCCTTATCTTGTTAGACAAGGTGCCTAAGCTTCAGACACCTCACAAGTAAACATGGAAAGCCAATTGGTTAATATTAAATCCTACTCAGAGCCACTTTGTAGTGGTCCCTAAGAAGATTTCATCTGATTGTCTTCTAAGTACGTTGTAGAAAAGTCCACATATAGAGTCACCACTATGATATGTAGCATTTAGAATGAAGCAAAGGCATAACACTTCTCCACAAATAAAACCAATCTTTGGAGGTTTTAAAATATAAACAGAACTTGTGTATCATGATTTACAAATCTGTCCTGCATTCAAATAAAGCTGCCTTGAATATTTCTTATCAGTTCGTGTTTGTAGCACATGATGACTGGATTTGCTGTGGGGAGTAGGTATACGTACATAATTTAATTCTTTTTAACTCATTTCCTCTCTATTTCTCCTTTTCCCTCCACCCTACTTCCCACTTACAAAAGCTCTATTTCCCTATTTCCTATTGTCTGTCTTTTCTTCAGCTCAAGTTACCTATAATTTGGGTTTCTCATATAAGAGAAGTTATGTGATATTTAAGCTACGTATCAGATTTACTTCACTTACTATGGTATCAAGGCACATCCATTTCCCTACAAATGGCTCAGATTTTTCTTTACAGCAGAGTACTACTCCACTGTATATAAATATCACACCTTCTTTATTTATTCATCTGTTGATGGACATATATCAGCTTCTAAGATTTGGGTATTAGGAGTTGTATGTAGACATGTATCATTATAATATGATACCTTTGCACCTTTCAGGAAGATACCTACAAGGGAAATAGCAGGGTCAAATAAAATTTCTAGTTGTAGTATTATGAGGAACCTCCTTTCTGATTTCAGTAGCAGATATACTAGTTTACATTCCTGCCAACAATGTAGAATTCTTTTTCCCCCAGCTTCACCAGTATTTATTATTATTTGATTCATTGATGATAGCCATTTTTCCTGGAGTATGATGGAATCTGAGTGTTCTAATTTGCATTTCTCTGACAAGACTAGGGAATTTTGCCATTTTCTAATGTCTTCTTCAATCTCTTTTTCCAAAGCAATATCATTTTTGTTATAGAGGCATTTCCCTTCCTTGACTCAGCTATTTTCTACTTAAATTTTTGAAGCTATTATGTATGAGATTTTTTGGGGGATTTCTTTCTTAGTGTGTTTATTATTGGCATACAGAAACACTTCATTGTTTTGTGTTGATTATGTACCCTGCCATTTTGCTGAATTTGTTTATTAGTTCTGAGAGTCTTGTGTTGGAATTTTTTGGGGCTTTCCTTATAAAATATCATGTCGTCTGCAAATAAGAATAGTTTGACTTATTTATTTTTTGCATCCCTTTTATTTCTTTCACTTTCTTGACTGTTCTAGCTAAAGTTCCCGGTGCTATATTGAACAGGAATGGTGAGGGTGAACACCCATGTCTTTTGGTGATTTTTGAAAAAAAAATCTGTTCCTATTTAATATGATGTTGTTATGGGTTTGTCACCAATGGCTTTTATCAGACATATGATTCTTCTATACCTATTTTCTTCAGAATATTTTTTAATGTGAATGGATGCTGGACTTTGTCAAAGTCTTTTTATGCACCTATTCAGATGATTAAATGATCTGTGTCCTTGCTTCTGTTCATGTAATAGACACATTTATTGGTTTGCATATGTTGAGCCATTCTTGTATCCCTGGGATAAAGCCTGCTTGGTCATGGTGTGTGATCCTTTTAATGATTTGTTACATTATATTTGAAAGTATCTTTTTGAGGATTTTTGAGTCTATGTTCATTAAGGAAATTGGCCGTAGTTTTTGATGGAGCCCTTTTCTAGTTTTAGGATCATGGTAATGCTACCTTAAAGTAATGGATGTTCCTTCACTTTCAATATCATGGAGAGTTTAAGAAATATTGGCATTATTTCTTCCCTGACAATCTGCTAAAAGCCAGTGGTGAATTAATCAACTTCTGGTTTTTATTTTTTGTTCTTAAATTTTTATTACTATATCTATTTTGTTTTCTGTTATTGGTCTATTCAGGATTTTTATATCTTCTTCATTAAGTTTTGATAGGTCATATATGTCTAAGAATTTATCCAGTTTTTAAAGATTCTCAAATATGTTGTAATATAAAGTTTGAAGTAGTTTCTCACAGTCCTCTGGATTTTGTCCATGTCCATTTTTATTTTGCCATTTTCACTTCTAATTGCATTGATATAAATTTTCTTTAGCAAGTTTGGCTAAGAATTTATCAATCTTGCTTATCCTTTTAAAGAATCAAATCTTTAATTCATTGAGCTTTTGTATTTTTTGTTTTTAGTTTTAATATTATTAATTTCCAATTGATCTTTATAATTTAGCTCCTTCTGCACATTCTGGACTTGGATTACTCTTGTTTTACTTGAGATGCACGATTATGTTATTTATCTGAGACAGCTGTATTTTTCTAAGGGGGCATCTGCAGCTCAAATCCTTCCTTTTCTTGTGTCTTATAGGATTTGGTATTTTTTTTTTCGGTACCAGGAACTGAACTCATGATCTTGCACTTGCCAAGCAGGCGCTTATGCCACTGAGCTATGTCCCCAGCCCCAGGATTTGGTATGTTATGTTGCCACTGTCACTTAATTCTAGGATATTTAAATTTTTTTCCTTGATTTTTTTCTGCAACCCATTGATTATTCAAGCATGTGTAATTTAATGTCCTTGTGTTTGCATAGATTCTGTGCTTTCCATTGTTGTTAATTTGTAGTTTCAGTCTACTGTTCCTGATAGTACACAGGAGATTATTTCAATTTTTTTGTATTTACTTAAGCATGATTTTTGGCCTAATATATTGTCAGTTTTTGGAGAATATTTCATGTCCTGTTCAGAAAAATATATACACTGCAGTTATTGGATGAAACATTGATTAATTGATGAGATATTGATTAATTGCATGAGATATTGATTAAGTGCAGTTGTTCCATGATGCAGTTGAACTCTGATGCAATTGTTCAATGATGCAGTTGAACTCTGATAATTGATGAGATATTGATTAATTGGATGAGACATTAAGTGCAATTGTTCAGTGATGCAGTTGAACTCTGATAATTTTTTGTTGATTTTTTTTTTGGTCTGGTTGACCAGTCTGTTTATGAGAGTGGTGTAAAGAAGCCCATACTCACTAAGATTGTATTGATATTTGTCACATCTTTAATGTCCACTAGTATTTGTTGTATGAAATTTGGTGTGCTGGCACTTAGTACATAAATATTTGTAGTTATCTCTTTCTATTGAATTGTTCCATTTACCAGTATGTGATAACCTTCTTTGTCTCTTCTAATCAGTTTTGGCTTGAAGTTCACTTTTTCTGAGATTAGGATAGCTACTCTTCTTTGATTTCCTGTTCCTTTTGCATGGGGTATCATTTTCCACACTTTCTTATTTTATAAAAACACCCAAAATTTCATAACAAAATAATAAGAGAATAAATAACAATGATAATATGCCATATATCATTATGTTCAAAGTAGCTACATCCTCAGAGACAAAAAAGATTCTTACAAAGAAGAAACAGATAATAGCACAAAAGTTTTTGATGAATGAGGAGAAACTAATAGTATAAATTGAATAAGTTAACATATATATATTAAATAATTTCAATCTATGTGTCACATTTTGAATGAGGTATGTCTGTTGTAGGCAACATATAGGTCTCTGTAGTTAGGTTCTGTTTTCCAGTGATGTGATGCTGGTTTGATTTACCAAGAGCTATTGTCTTCCACTTCAACCTATTCAGTTTAATTAGGTTGGATCCAGGCACTGTATTGTAAGGAGAGAATTCTTACTGGTTATAACAGCATGCATAGGTCTAACCATACATCAGCAATGAACATTAAAACTTGTTTTGACAGTTTCATTCTTTCTTCAATGGCCCTTACTTACTGTATTATATATATAACATTATTATTAGCCTTGAATGTGGTGGGAAGGGAAGGAAAGAGAAAATGGAAAAAGAAGGTAGTAAGTCAGTAGGAGAGAGGGAGGTACTAAAAGAAAAGTTAGCAGGTGAAAAATAGATGGGAAGTTGGGCTGTATTGAAATATTTTTATAGCTCGAACCAGGTTTGTGAGACTATTAGTGCAGATGGGAGGCTGCATGCAGAAAGAAGCATAGTTACAGATTGAAGGAAAGTGTAAGTTTGTTGGAGCCTGTTAATATGCAGTGATTCTTCACTGCACAAACTTAATTTGTTCCATAATTCTGGGGACAATGGCCACAGTTATGTTCATCACCATGTTCATCTCCATCAGTGTGGAGTTAGTGAATGGAAGCAAAATTTTGTCAAATGCTTCTGTTAGGGAACTGAATTATTCACAAAAAGAAGTGTTTGTGAACCAAGGTATTGCTGTATTTATATTAGTTTTGTTTGGATCCTCTAAGCATGATTTTTGTAAGGGTCATCTTGACATGATGTCTTAGTTACTTTCTCATCACTGAGACACAATACTCAACATCTACAACTCTGAGGAGGAAAGGCATTTTTAGGCTCACAGTTTATAGAGTTCAGTTCAGAGTCAACTAGTTCCCATGCAGTGCAGCATGGCAGAGAAGAAACAGCTCGTGGTATAGTGGTGGGAAGCAAAGAGAGATTAAGGGTGGAGGGAGAGAGATAGCCTTCTAGGCAATGCACTCCATGGCCCACCTCGTATGACCAGGCTTTGCCTCCCAATGTCACATTGAGCTATAAACTCATTAGTGTGCTGATCCACAGAATAGTATCTGGCTTTTATGATCCAATCACCTCCATCAAACCCCATCTATGATTGCATGAGACTTTACAGGGACATCTAGATATAAACCCTAACACAGAAACCCCAAGAAAACCCAGAACAAAGATACCAGCAAGGAAACAATAAAAACCCCTCTTCCAGTTGCTATAGTATTAATTCAGTGTGTCCACACAGCTCTCTATGCCGGACTCATGGTCTGGTTTCAAAATGCCGAGCCAGTTTCTCCTCTGTGGACTACTTAGTTACCTAACTGTGAGTGTGAAAGATGCTGACTTCTCTAGACTGGCCTCCTAGCTGCTAGTTATGCTTTGGGTATTACTAACTGCAGGACTTTGTTTCTGTCCCAAGAGCTGACCTCCCCAATTAATTTGGGAAGTGGATGTACTATAGTTGGCCCAACACTCAGTTCTCTGTTGACTCCCACCAGGGACATCCCATTCCCACTTCCTTCACTCCATGGAAAATCCTGCAGTTCATCTCTATTTCCTCTACAGAGTTTTCCTAGAAGCTCTGTGACCCAGGTGCCACTTTCTGTCCCTCCACATATGGTCCCTGTCTCAAGGGCTCCACTCTCTGACCTGGAGAACTTGATAAGCTCTAGGCTTGGCAGAGGGCCAATTTTTCCAGCAAGGGACCATGGGCAGTGGGCAGGATTTCACATTATCTCAGATCTTCCTGGTGTTTGGGGAAATAGTAGGAGGGTGCCTCTGTGATGTGGCTCTGCAGAATCTCCCTTTCTTCCCAGTGTCTCCAAGGATGTAATCTGCTCCTCCCTTCCAGAGAGTTCTCCATTTCACACAGTTCACCATCTTCAGCTGCTCTCAGCTTAGGGAAATAGACTTTCTAGGCTCTCCACAAACCTTTTGCCTAGTGTAGTGTAGAAGTCCTCTGACCCAGGCGTCACTCTGTCCCTCCTCTCACTGTCCTTTGTTCACTGTGCAGTGTCAGATCTCACCATTCGCTGAAGTCCTCAGCAGGGGGTCCTGGGAGGTCCCCTGTGGGAATCTGCTGGTAACTGGGGGCAGCACATTGAATGTCTCACAAATATAACACTCCCGTTTTATGTGGGAGGAATGGGTGACTATCTTTTTCTGGGCTGAACAAACCTTATTTGTCCCCATGGTCCCACATATGCTGCTTGCTCCTGGAACACTATGGTTTTCAAACACGAGTATATGCTGGTGTTGTGTTATACACCATTCTCTGGAATTTGATTTTTCTGAAGTCTTCTCTTGCATGTATCTCTTTTTTCTATTTTAAAGAGTAAAAGAAGGATAACATAATAATAGGTGGGGGCTTACCAAATTACAGACAAAGTGGTAGGAAATTATCAATGGTTATTGTTTTACATATTGTTATCTACAAAATAGTTTCTTAGGAAAACAAATAGACAAATAATAGTGAGTTACAAACAAAACAGGTAGGAGATTATCAATAGTTGTTGTACTATACTTTGGTATCTTCAAAGTGGTTTCTAAAGAAAATAAATAGAGCTATATATGAGTGACCTATTGAATAATCATTAACTATTCTCAATGGTTGTTGTAGGAAATAATAATAAACATGCATCCATTTACAAAATAGGATAGGAACAATACAAACATTACAGAGTTATGGATAGCTTAGCAGGAAAATATCAATGGCTGCTGTAATACATGGTGCTATCTTCAAAGTGGTTTCTCAGGAAGATAGAGATATGCAAGAAGGATCTAACAAGTAGTTACAGCCTAAGGGTTGTCAAAAATAGCATATTACCTCCTCACCAGTGACTCCTGTCACTGAAGTGTGACACCTGGTAGGAAGGCCAGGATTGAAAAGAAGGACTGAGAGACTTGTACCTGTGTCCAGCAACAGGCTATTTTCTTGTTCCTCCATAGTCATGATTACCCAGGGCTCCTCCAGGAGATGACAGTCTGGCCAGAGGGAGAAGGCCAGGATTGAAAAGAAGGACTGAGAGACTTGTACCTGTGTCCAGCAACAGGCTATTTTCTTGTTCCTCCATAGTCATGATTACCCAGGGCTCCTCCAGGAGATGACAGTCTGGCCAGAGGGACAAGGCAGAGTATGCCCCGGACCCCCTCATTCCTGTTGGACTAACTGGTAGGATGGGTCTGAGCTCTGGGGCCTCTGCTTCAGAGGGCAGACCGATCTCCAGTGGTCACCTTTGCATTCAGGGCATGGCCTAGGGGCCTCTTAGGGCAGTTCCTCTTGAGGTGGCCTGGCTTTTAACAGTGGTAGCAGATGAATGCAGTCATCAAGTTCTTGGGGCCCCAGGAATCAAACTTGGGGTCTGTTTCTCTTAATGCTTCAGCAAAAGCAGCTGCTTTTTCTCAGTCTCTTTGTTTTTTCTCCTTGGCCTCCTCCTCGTCATGGCTATAGAATACTGAGGAGGCAATTCTTACTAACAACTCAAGTGAGCCATCTGGGGTGAAAGCTATTCCTTGTAGCTTCTTCTCTCCAGCCTCCCATCATATTGGGACTCCACAACCAGTTAGTGCCCTCTTCCCACCATCAGCACAGGCAGCAGAAATCTTGCTGCAGACCTCTCTGGAGCTCCACCACAGCCTGTACTGTCAGGGGAAGAATGGCTTCCAGGGAGTCTCCCCAGGTATTGTGCAAGGTCCTCCTTGTTTACAGCTTCCGAATGGCTCTCATGACTCCAGTCCACAGGATCTCTGACTCCTCGGGCTTAGTCTGTATTCTCATGTTCTCCGAGTCCTTGTTCAGCAGCTGCTCCTCCGCTGACTCTGGACCTTTCTGGTTCTCAATGGCAGGAGCGAGAGTGACCCGTTGTGTGGCACGTATTCCCAGGGGTTTCTCCATGTTTGAGTGATTCACTCACGTCCGTGGGAGGGCATCCGCAGCTGGTGCATGGTGGGTCAGTTGTGTCATTGTTTTTCTGTGTCATGGTAGGTCTCATTTGAGCGGCGGCACGTGACAGCGCTTGCTGCTGCGTGGCTTCCCGTGTGCCGGAGCCCCTCCTCCCGGGTGACTGCTAGGCTGGGGGCCGGCCTGAGGGCCAGTGCTCCCTGCCCCATGGCTTTCCGGACCCCGGGGGCCCTCCTTCTGGGCACCTGCGAGGCAGGGAGCCAGCCCAAAGACCGAGGTTCCCTGCCGCATGGCTTCCTGTGTGCTGGAGCCCCTCCTACCGGGCACCTGCTCTGCTGGGGGCAGGCCTGAGGGCCACTGGTCCCTGCCTCACAGACTTGCATGTATCTCACTTGCAGTGATTCTCTCCCTAGTGGGTAAGTTGGTATGATTTGAGGCTATTCCATCAGGTAGGCCGCTGCTGAAGAGCTAGCTCCCTTCCTCAGATAGTTCGATCCTCTCCCAAGATGGCCCATGCACTGGACCGAGGTTGGGGGATGTTCTGTGATTGAGGAGTGCTGTGCTTTTCCTTTTTAAGTTCCACCCCTAGACACTGGATTTAATATAGTCAAGAAGCTGGGCCATCCAGAAACCCTGTGCCATCTACCAGTTCCAGGATAACATCATTTCTTCTGGGACCAGGAGAACACAAATCTGCTGCAAAAACCATGGTCTTCAGAGAGAAGTCACACTTCCAGATATGCATCATCAAAACTTGTTCACTCTATCACCTGTACTAACATTGAGTGAGCCTTAGTCACATTCCATCATCTAATAGGGAGAAACAAAAGGAGAAGGAGAAGGAGAGGAAGAGGAAGAATGAGGAGGAGGAGGAAGAAGTGGATGGGAAGAAGAAGAAAAAAGAAAAGGAGGAGGAGGAGAAGGAAGAGGAGAAGGAGGAGGAGAAGGAAGAGGAGAAGGAGAAGAAGGAGGAGGAGGAGAAGAGGGAGGAGGAGGAGGAGGAAGAGGAGGAGAAGGAGAAGGAGAAGGAGAAGGAGAAGGAGAAGGAGGAGAAAAAGAGGAATAAGAGAAAGAGGACAGAAAAGCAGAGCAGCAGAAGCAGCACTTACATAGGGTTTATTTTGTGCCAGGTATATTCTGTGTCCTCTACAGATAATTCACACTCACCACATCAATTGCAAGTGGTGGAAAAGAGTTTAGGCACAAGCCAGGCAGCTGCAGTTTGTGTGTAATTACTTGTTATTTTACACCTAAAGTTCTCCTAAAGCACAGCTGGAACTGGAGCTGCAATCCTGGCAACTCTTCCATTTCCAGTCTCTGCAGCAGGGAAAGCCTGCCAGAAGGGCTTTAGGACATGTGTTGCCAAAGAACCCTCTGCCTCCATCTTCCAGTTGACAGAGTGACACATTTAACCCTCTGCTCCATTTCTGCATGTGTGAAAGTGGGGTCAATACATAAACTCAAATTGGAAGGTTGTTGTACAGATGAAATAAATTACAATATATACATGCAAAACTGGCCAACAAAAAAGAAAATTTTAAGGATTAACTGTTCCTTTCAATAAACCACAGACATCAGCAATACACCTACCCCAAAGAATGACTGATCTGAAGACAGCAATAGGTAGTATAAGAACCATTGTCGAACTCCTACCATCTTGTGAAGCTCTGCCTCATTTCCAGTGTTTTTTTTTTTTTAATTACTTGTTACTGTCCTTGATTATTTGATCAATCTTACATTCTTACATCTGGTGGACTGAGCAACTTTGTTGAACATAACAGTACGTAACGTAGCAACCATTGTTAATTCCTGTCATTTTGTTTTGAGGTCATGTTCGTTTTTGTTTTTGTGTTTTGTTTTGGTCTTCATTGTTGTTGTTTTGTTAGTTTTTTCCTCTCTAAAAAATAAAATATGTACAGCACTTAGAACAGTGCCTGGAAAATAGTAAGCATTCGGTATTTTATTTTTGTTGAATTTTTAAAAAATCACTGTGACTTTATTCACGAAAAGACTGTTTGTTCCTTCTGGTGGTATTTCTTGAGCAGAAGATGAAGTGGAATTTTCTTGTGGGTAAGTTTCTGTATGTGGTGTGTACAAAATTGTACTCAGAGTTTGTGCCATGGATGACGTGCAGTAAGAGCAGGTGATCTAAACCAAATATCAAATTCTGGGTAGAGAACGGGGGACAGTTGTTTTGGATCTCTGCACTGCACTGTGAAGAATGTAGAATCAGGACTGTCTTTCTCACTTTCTGCACCACTGAGATAAAAAAGTGAACATTTGCAACTTAAAGGAGGAGAGGCTTATTTTGGGTCACAGTTTCATGGGTTGCTTTCTGGGTCAGCTGGTTCCTAGGCAGAAACAGTGTGAAGAAACTGTCTTGTAGGTTGTTGGGTCATTGATGCCGCTGCCCTTGAAGGAATTAAAGCAGCTTTCAGGAAGCCCTAAGTTAGTTCTCACAACACCAGATTGCTGTGAGAGTGAGCTTGGCTTCTGAACTCTCTGGGCTCTGGTTTGGCAGTGTAATCTGTTCTCATTACCCGTTTTCACCATGATGCCATCTGCCATGAGGCCCTCACCAGAGGTCAGTCAATGGCTTGACTGACCAAACTGTGGACTAATCTTTCAGTGGACCATCTTTTCTTTATAAGGTTACCCAGATTTAGGTAATTTATTTTAATAATGAAAAATAGACTCATAGAGGCTGTCTGGGATGTCATGAGGTCATGGGCCTTGCTTTCCTGGGCCCTGTCCGGATGATTCTTTATCCTGGGTATTCAGTAACTGTGGTTACCATTTCACTGGTGATCCCATTCCCTTTAACATACCTCCCCTAGGTCCCACAGGAGAGTTAGACCCCTTAGAGGAGGACACACTGTATTGGATTCTCCCCCCTAATTCACCAATATCCAGATTTGCTGAAAGGTGGGACCTTGTCTAGGCTTAAAAAACTCTTCACTGCCCCTTATTCTTTCTCACTCACTATTTTTCTTTTATCTCTTCTCAGGTGCAGTGATCACTTGGGCAGCACTATGGTCACTGTCATCCTGGGAACTTAGGCATTGCTACCTCAGCCTTGTACTAGATCAGCCGTTAGATATTTATGTCTAGAACATCATGCTCTCAGAATCACAAGGACGGAGCACTGAGGCTAAAGACAATTGCTCCACAGCCAGAGTCCACCCTCCTCTGCCATCCTGCTGTTCATTTGAGCAGCACGTGCACAACCAGCACATCCACACATCTGTATGTGGGATGGGTGGCACTGGCTAGGCAGGCGGGAATTTCCCAGGAGTTAGAGGCCAATCTGGTTACCAGCTCCATGACAGAGGTTGCGAGGTTTTCTTGTTATACCTTTGTAAGATTGGCTGGTAAGGAAAACAACAAGCCCAAATGCACTTAGACATTTTGTTACTTACACAGAGCGCAAAGCGAGATCAGCATCGTGTTAGGCCCTAAATTTACATTATGGCACTCAAATAAGGAGGCAGAGGATGGGAAGCAGAGGTGCTGGTCACTTTGCTGCTAAGGAGTTAACATTAAACTATAACAAAGTGCTCTTACAGCTTACAGCAGAGCCTAAAGGGCTGGGGCAGAAATTCTCATGCTTGAACGAAAATGAGGAGGTAGCAGGAACCCACCTCAGGATGGCACCACAGGATGGCCTCCCTCCTTGTTTCAAGAAGAGCTTCAGCTGGGCAGGGTGGCACACGCTTATAATCCCATCACCCGGGAAGCTGAGGCAGGAGAATCATTGCAAGTTCGAGACCAGGCTGGGCTACAAAGTGAGCTCAAGGCCAGCCTGAACCGCATAGTGAGACCCTGTCTCAAAAAGACGCAAAACCAAAACAAAGACAAGAAAAGCTTCATTGCTGGGCACCTGTAGTCTCAGCATGTGGGAGATTGAGGCAGGAGGATCGCCATGAATTCAAGGTCAGCCTCATTTACATAGTGAGTCCAAGGCCAGCCTGGACTACACAGTGAGACCCTGTCTCAAAACAAAACAAAACAAAACAACACAAAACAAAACAATGGGAAAAAAACTGAAAAACTGCTTTAGGGCCAGATTTATTGAAGCCTGAGTCAGCCTGAAGTTAAGCCTTGCCTGTGAGGTCTGTGTAAGATATGTGGAGTTAGTCACAGGGCCAGGGAAGACCTGTTCCTCTATAGGTAGTAGGACAGGACTCCTTGTATAAAGAGATGATTCCAAAGAAGCCTCTTTAAGTAGAGAAGACATCCCTTCTCTGCTTACAGAGAGACATAGACACTGAAGACAGCACTGATCCCACTTTGAAGTGAGAAAAATATGCAAGTTGCCTTCCCAAGAAAAGAAACTCAAGTTTTAAGAAGGCCTGAGCTTACCTTCCCAATCCAAGATCATAGATTCTGGTGGAGGGGTTAGAAAATAAAATACTAAAAGCCAATACTGTGAGTACATCACAGTGTCCTAGTTTAATCTGAATTCCCTAGCTTTGTAAAAGAAGGGAGGACCAGCAGTCTTCAAGTCAATGGGTGCTCTCTGCCTTCTCATGTCAGGGCCCAGGGTCTCCTTTGACGCAGCACTCCAGCTGGAACATACAATAGGCAACTAATAGCTCAGTTCCATAGCACTCCATTCTGCAGGTACCATTTTTATAGCATTTCTTGTGAATTTCTGATGAGAATGGATTCAAACCTACAAGAAAAATGAATGAAAAGATAATTCACTGCAGGATAACTGAATGACTTCAGTCCTTCAAGCTTTGTCCCACTGAATTCCAAGAAGACTTGATCATAATAATTGATTCTGGCATTGAAAATATATTAACTAGTATTATGGGTTAAATTGTGTTGACCTAATACCCATATGTTGGAAGCTTAACCCTGATATGACCATATTTGGAGGTAGGGCCTTTAGGAAATAGTTGAAGTTAAATGAGGCCATAAGGCAGGGCCTAATCTAGTGAGACTGGCAGTCTCATCCTGTTAGTGGATTGACTGGCTTATTGGTGGAGGACACAGTGAGAAGAAGGCTGTTGGCAAGTTAGGGAGAGTGAGTGTCCTCAGCAGAAGCAGAATCAGCCAGCACCTTGGCTGTGGCCTTCCAGCTTCTGGAAATGTGTGAGTACAAATTTGTTTAAAGTGTGCCATCTTTGGTGGTTTGTAATGGCAGTCAAACTTAGACAACTACTGACCTGGGAGTTTTCCTGAATTGCTGAATTAATGTAATCCAAATAATCAGGTTAGCTATGTCCTCAGGCATCCACTCATTCTTTTACTAACTGGTAACTCAGCATTATTTATTTGTTCTCAAACCAGTTTTTATGGATCTTGTGTATCAAGGACCGTTGAGGTACACATTTGAATATGACATAGATCTGAGCCTCAGTGAATTTCCAGTCTACACAGAAGGAAAGGAAACATACATATCTGTGGGGACAACACATGCACGTGCCATGAGGTGTTTACAACATAGAATGGTCTGGTGAATTTGAAGGGGTGTCAAATCATTAATAAGATTTTGGAAATCTTATTCAAGCTCAAAACAGATGAGATAGGCTTACAAATTTGTAGGCCCACTGCTCTTTAGAACAATCAAATATAACTGTTTTTCCCTTTTCATATAAAGGCATTAGGAAGAAAGTAATGCTAATATTTGCCCATCTATAAAAATTTTGAGCAACTCGTACCTTATCCAAATCAGAGGGGATCAAGGTTTCATAGGCCTATGAGGTCTGTGTAAGATATGTAGAGTTAGGCAGAGGGCCAGGGAAGACCTGTTCCTCTATAGATGGTAGAACAGGAGGGAGATAAGAGACAATGACTGTACAATGAGACAAGAATTTCCTGTAACAAGACAAGCTCTGAGAATGTATGAAGCAGTAATGGGAATACTGTAGATTACTGGGAGCTGTTGATTGGAACCCACGATTCTACCACCATAAATCACAGTGGAGTAGGTGCCACCAACAGCTTCAAGAAAGCCTGGTTCCTATTGGTCTGAGTCACATGATCTGAAAAGTCTATTTCATCTGCCTAGAGAATACTTCAGGAAGACTAGACAATCAGAGCGGTACTTGACAACACAAGGATTTTGGCTGACTCAATAAAATCTAGTGAAGAAAATATTCAAGATGAGCTTTCTAAATCAGAAAAGACTAGTCAATAGCCGTGACGAGGAGGAGACCAAGGAGGGAAAACAAAGAAACTGAAAAAGCAGCTGCTTTTGCTGCAGCACTAAGAGAAACAGACCATAAGCCTGATTCTTGGGGCCCCAAGAAGAACTTGATGACTGCATTCATCTGCTACCACTGTTAAAAGCCAGGCCACCTCA